TAAAAACTATGCCATAAAATCATTTCAAACATTCTACTCACAGGTTTTGCCACAAGAAGTTCTCTTATCTCATCTCTGAAATCTTTGAATCTGTCGTGGAAAACTGCAAGGCACCAGGACTCGCGGAAAAAGCTAGAATATACACAAAGAAACATTTCAGGACTTGAGTCAAGCTGTGACAAGTCATTAATTTGGATATGTCAATATCAGCAATATTCTCCAAACTAACTGTGCATTAACTGCCTTCTTGAATGACTGTCCGTTTTTCTATCAGCCTGGTTGCAGCCTGTCAGCCGATTTTTCCGTCCATCTCTTTGTCTGTGTATCTGTGTAATTGTCTGTCTGTCGCCCTGACGAAGGGCTAACGCTCGAAACGTCAGCTTTTATAATCGTAACGGTGGCCAATTTACCATTTCAACTTTGTTGATATATTCATATTACTCTGACAAATCAGGTCAATCAAAACCATTGTCATTCAAAAGCGTTTTCAAATAACAAAAAATGTTATAAAATATGACATTTAACCGTTTTTTCTAATTGACTAGTTAGCATCAGAATCTTGACATACTTTTCAAAAGCTTGGTTCAGTTTCTCTCTTTCAGCTCATTCCTGTCCTTCATTCATAAACTTGATGGAAGACAGGGACAAGTCGCAGTTTCAGCGTCGCACTTTTTTTACTCTCCCGTTTTGGAAAAGCATGTGAAAGGAAATACTTGACTGGAATAAACTTAAAAATGTCTATGTAAGGTAAAAGTATAACGTGTCCTGTTTGAGACAATGCACCAGAAGAGGAATCTTCGTAAAGGCTCTGTTGCTTCTCTTTCACTTATCTTCGTCTTTCCTCTGCTCTTCTATCCTAAAGTAGAAGTTTAGAATAAAGAAAGAATTAAAACGAATTTGTGGAAGATTTCAAACTTTAATGTAGATGAGTAAAAATTTCTTTTGAGACGGCCTACTGGAATTAATACTTTAATAGCTTACTATTTGATTTGTTATTGCCAGGTCTTATTTTCAAAACTGTCAAATTAAATTAGATCTAGCTGATTAGACCAGTCTAAGCCTGAAGTTACTTTTATAACATCATTTGATTAATTTTTTTTTCTGGAATATATAACTGAATTACCTTAGCTTGAAAATATTTTTTTTTTCTCAGAGTATAGCCGTTTCATAGGCTAGTTGCAAGTTCATTTAGGTAATACTATCAACACAAAACCACACATCAAACACAAGCTTATCTCATTTTCGCAAAGTCAAATGTCACGTTGTCTCCAATCAGCACAAAACGGAGCTCATTGGGAAATTTTGGTGAAGCCGTTGCTTCTTAACCATTTGGTGACCTGGTGAAGAGATTCGCTGGCACTTTCGCAAGGTGCTCGTAAAAATGATTCATGAGCAGCTCTGTTGCTTCATCTTCAATAGCGCACGATGCCACCAGCACTGAACGGGCACCAGAAGCCAAGAACGCTCGAGCGGTTCCAATAACTCCCTCCTGTTTGCACGTTCCACGCCCACTGTGACAAGAGCTAAGAACTACTAGTTTGGCTCGCAGCTGAACTTTAGAAATGTCAGAGACTGTCAACAGGTAATCTCCCTCTTGTGGGAACTTGTTAGCAGTACGATGAGGGGAAAGCACAGTGTCTCCTCTCTCGGCATCTCCATGTGCAGCAATGTGGATCAAACCCACGGAATGTATAGCTTGAAGCACCGACTGCTTGATTGCGCGCTCTCCCAACAAAGGGTGAACGCCGAGTAGGTGACCGACCATATTTGCTTCTTTTCTTGCACCGGCTAATTCTGTAGAAGGCTTTGAGACGTTCCTTGTAATAAACTTTGCTAACCTCAGGATCACCCACAACCAGCGCGCTAGTCTGACTGTGATAGTCTGCTGGACATTTCTGAATAACACTAAGAGTTTTCAAAGAGGGGACGATGCGGATTTCTGAATGCCTCTGATAGATACTCCCCAGCTGGATCATCACGCAAAGCAGCAAATGAGACTCGATAAGAACGCTTCTTTGGCACGATGATGATTTCAGGCTCGGCGAGTAAATCAACCACATGGTCAAGAATCAGCTTATAACACAAATGGAGAAGTGACTCGGCACCTTTGGTTTCCTCACCTTTCAAAGAACGACCCTCGCAATTTTCGTTCATTTTGATGGTATTCTTCAAGTGATTCAAACACAGCTCCAAGGCTCCCGTACAATGTTTCTTCTGCTTTCCTGTTGCCAATTTCTATAGCGATAGCAAGGGCTTTTTCGTGATGCTCTTTAGCCCTCTGGTATTCTGCAAGTGATTCAAAAAAGCTCTAAGGTTCCCGGACGATGTTCCCTCTCCTTTCCTATGACCAATTTCTGTAGCGATGGCAATGGCTTTCTCGTGATGTTCTTTAGCCTGGTATTCTCCAAGTGATTCGAATACAGCTCCGAGTCTCCCGGACCATGTTCCTCTCCTTCCCTGTCGCCAATTTCTATAGCGATGGAAAAGGCTTTCTCGTAATGTTCTATAGCCTTCGGGTATTCTCTAAGTGGTGCTAACACAGCTCCAAGGTACCCGGACCGTCTTCCTTCTCCTTTCCTGCCGCCAATTTCTATAGCGATGGCAAGGGCTTTCTGGAGATATTCTTTAGCCTTCTGGTATTATCTAAGCGATTCAAACATAGCTCCAAGCTCCCGGACCATGCATGCTCCTTCTCCTTCCTTGTCATCATTTTGTATAGCGATGGCAAGAGTTTCTCGAGGTATTCTTTAGCCTCTTGATGCTCATCGAGAGATATAAACACGAATCCAAGGTTCCCGTAAGCCATTTTCTCTTCTTTTAGTAGACTACCCGTTTTAGTGATATTTACTGCGCTTTTCAAAATTGTTTTGGCCATTATAAGCTTACCTTCTTCAAAACATTTTGTACCCAGTTGTAACGTTAATTTTCCAGCTTCGTAAAACAGTTCAAGAATTTTGCGGGTGTACCTTGCTGCATTCGTATGACCAGAGATGGAAAGACCTGCGTTAAATGCCCCGGCCGGACCAACACTCAGGGTCTTAAAATAACTGAGGAGAATGTGCTACCTTTCTATAACATCAAGAAATGGATAGAAATTCTAGTCTTCTTG